GAGACTGACTCACACTTATATATGTCCCAAATCTTCATGTGAGACTCCTCTATAGATGATCTACTTCACTCTAATATCCGTTGACCATAGCTCTAACACTGTGCCAAAAACAGTTGGAGTGTTGGTGGGCCTGGTTTCAACAACACACGTAGCAGGGCTGATTGATGCATTGCTAATAAAAACCAAGAAGACACTAAATTAGCTAAACTCTGATCGTTTGCAGCTGATCTCTTAGAAAATCCTCCAAAAACATCAGCAACACTGAGCAAAGCTCATTAAATCTGTCCTACCTTTGCTTTTATTTTCATTTGAGGATATTTTCATCTGAATAAAAGTCTGTTTCTGGAATATATCCAGCCGATAGCTTATCATTCAACTTAAAGTTTGAGTTTTTTTCTTAATAAATTACAGAAAAAATAAGAAATCATAAATTTAAACATTTTTTGGCCATTTAATTCTAATTTACTCCATTAATTCCAAATATTCACCCAGGACCTGAGTATTTACCAAATTTACTATATAACAACTTATCTGTTCTAGTTTCTAGTAAAGCTTTTAGTAAAGCTTTTTCCACAGGACAAACATTTAAAAGGCTTCACACCTGTGAATTCTCGTGTGAGTAGTCAAATTACTCTTTTGAGTAAATTTATTGTTACAAATGGTACAGTAAAAAGGCTTCTCACCAGTGTGAATTCTGATGTGTCTATCAAGAGAAGATTTGTCAGTGAAACTTTTGCCACAGGACAGACATTCAAAAGGCTTCTCACCTGTATGAGTTCTCATGTGAGAATTCAAACTACTCTTTTGAGTAAATTTATTGTTACAAATGGTACAGGAAAAAGGCTTCTCACCAGTGTGACTTCTGATGTGTCTATCAAGAGAAGATTTGTCAGTGAAACTTTTGCCACAGGACAGACATTCAAAAGGCTTCTCACCTGTGTGAATTCTGATGTGTGTATCAAGATGAGATTTCTTAGTGAAGCTTTTTCCACAGGACAGACATTCAAAAGGCTTCTCACCTGTGTGAATTCTCATGTGTGTATCAAGATGAGATTTCTTAGTGAAGCTTTTTCCACAGGACAGACATTCAAAAGGCTTCTCACCTGTGTGAATTCTCATGTGTGTATCAAGACTAGATTTCTTAATGAAGCTTTTTCCACAGGACAGACATTCAAAAGGCTTCTCACCAGTGTGAATTCTCATGTGTGTATCAAGATCAGATTTCTGAGTGAAGCTTTTTCCACAGGACAGACATTCAAAAGGCTTCTCACCAGTGTGAATTCTCATGTGTGTATCAAGACTAGATTTCCTAGTGAAGCTTTTTCCACAGGACAGACATTCAAAAGGCTTCTCACCTGTGTGNAGAAATGTGAGTTCAGCTCAGAAATACATCCATGGATTAAACTAAAGACACATCAGGGTTTTTCATTTCTTCTATCTTCCTCTTTAACAGCAGTTTTTTCTTCTTTCTAATCAAACCATTTGACCAGAGGCCATAAAAACAAGGGAGAAATTCTCTGGAAGAATATCCAGATGGGCAGGGACACTAAAGCCTAACAATGCCTCCACTTTTCAGTCCAGATCCATCCCTCTCTGGATCTGCTACTGAGAGATGCAGCAGCAGCACCGGGAGCTCAGAGCCTCATACAGAGGAGGAGACCGGGAGAACCAAGTGTCCTCTCCAGGACTAAAGTCTGAGAGAGGTTCTGGGATTCTTCCTGCTTTCCACACTGCTGCCCATGTTGGCTCAACATCACTAAATAATGTTGCTGGGAATGGGAATCTCCTGCAGTTTCAGCTCTAAATTAACTGGATTCTGGGAAGTTCTGGATAATGCTGCAACCCCACACTGAAATTCAACTCATTGTTTCACGTTTCCTGCTTATTATTGAATAACTCATGGAAGGAAGTTTGAAAAAGAAATAAACTTTAACTGGATCAAAGCAGTGAAGAAGAAATCAGACTTTAGCCTGAAGATCCTCAGTGTGAATCAGTAGAATTTCAGCCCTATGTCTGCAGTTTAGAGTCAACACAACTTTACCATCAGAAATATCAGCACTAAACTAAAACATGGTGACTGACCTCAATGTCTGTAGTTTACAGAGGGGAGACTGGAGAAACCCACAGAGCTGCTTCACTCCACCATCTTTCAGGTCAATGTTGTTGCTCAGGTCCAGTTCTGTCAGATGGGAGGGGTTGGACTTCAGAGCTGAGACCAGAGAAGCCAAGCTGATCTCTGACAACCTGCACCAATTCAATCTGAATAAAGAATAAAAAATGTGTTGAAGCAACTGGACAGACAGGTTAAAACTAAAATAATGACAAAATAATGAAGAAAAATGTAAAAAAAATTATTTGACTACATCATCAACACCTACAACAACTGGTTAAAATGAAACCCTATGAGTTACTGCAACATTTAATTTCCCTTCTGTATTAATAAAATATTTTATGAATTGAATTGAATCTATGGAGGAAGATGAGAAACAGCAGAACCAACAATGCAGGTGATCTGAAGGCTATCAAATCAAGTTGGACTTCCATTGGACCTCATCAGAACCACAGGC